CCGTTCCCTGCGGAGTCCGTTTCAAGCAAGATACTGCTAGCGCAACAACAAGTTTCGAGGCTCGAACGTCGTCCAGAATGTATCCACTAGCTGAATTGAATTCTTCATGAGGTCCGATGGTGTGGATACTAGAGAGCCGGCAGTAAAGCTGTCTAGCCGCGTATGGTTTATCTACATCTCGAATTGATAATGGTCTATCGAAATTTTTGATACGTCTCGGCGATCGACAGACTGATACCGTCGATCCGGGGTTATTCGTATTATTCGTGATAGAAAAAAAAAGACAAAATATGACAGTATTAATAATATAGACAGGATGAAGATGAAGACACGACAAGTTTGTAGATTGCGTTAGCGAAATTCGTAATGGGCCTCTATTCGAGGGTTAATACGGGCGCGTGAATAATTTAAAGTCATTGAAGATGATTTCGAGCACAGAACGCCCGGAATTACCGCATAATCAATGCCGGAGTTACAGACGTTAGTGACGTACGAGTGTTATGGTATTAGCGTGAGTGCAGCCATTGGTTATGGATCAATTGCATTCGGGAAGGTCCAATCGGTGGTTACGGCCCTGTGCGGAAACTGCACAATCCTGCAATGATGCATCGGAACGCCGGTAATTCCCACGATGCGCCACCCGCCATTCCACTCTGCATACTGACTAAAGTGTTCGGTCTGCAAGTCTGCTGGCTTTCGTCCGATCCGCTTGTTTCTGGATCGATCATTTCCAACTCTACGGCGCACGTGTCTGCGCGCCTATGTCTAATAGCGGTGCATATCACGCATAACACTCGATAGGGGTTAGGGAGGGGGGGTGAAGGGGATCCCATTTAACGCAGTGGTTCTCGAAACTTTCCACAACGCAAGCTCCACCGGAGCCGTTTACCCTTTCGCGATCGCTTATGTATGTAATCTATTCATGGGAAAGTCGGGGAAGAGCATCGCTAGTAGTTTACCTAGCCGCCGTGACGGCCATTAATCATTCGTTCGCAAATTACATTCATTCGCTGGTTACTGCGATGTGTCCGAAAGCCGGCACGGTTATATCTCATAAAGCTCTACACAAGCCCGGATTGGACTTCTGTCGATTTTGAGATTTATCGCGCAGCCGGAATGAAGTAATTGAATAACGTATTTGCGTTGTATCCGACGGCGTCACTGGATCGCCGAAACGAATTACATTTCTTTTAAGGCTATTTATGCGCGCGGCGCACAATGAGGATCTCGTATCTCTGACGAGTGGCCTTTGTGTTGACCGCGATTACACAATCGGCAGAAGAGACGAGTGCGCGGTAATTGAATGCGACTGTAATTGAAAGTACTTGAGGGTACCGCGATTTTTCGAGAAGCCGCGCGAGGAGGAGGTTTCTTGACGGGATAAGATCTCGAGAACTCCAGGCGTTGCGGTTCAGCGCATTGACAAAGGGCACGAATTTACGTCCGACCACGTTTCTTCCCTGTTTCACTTCTTTTTCACCGTTTTGCCATTATTTTGCACAATTTTCTTATCCGGTTTTAACTCCAACGGAAGAAATTGCACAACTGCACGTTCGATCCCCGTCTTGTTGGCAACAACCGTCCGAAGAACAAGAGATTAATTGACCTTCTTTATCTCGATTGCCTCACCCTAGTGAAACTTTGTAGTCGCGTTACTTTACTTTATATCAGGGGTTCCCAACGTAGCCGATATTGACACCAAAGAGACGGCGAAACTGTCTAGAAAACGATAAACATCCAAACACTGAAAGAAAATCGATACACTAATATAATTAACAAGTTTGTTGATAAATTAACTCTGAAGTGAAGAACTTGTTAGCTAGGCTAATTACGTTATAAAAAGATAGCATCGACAAAGTGACATAAATTAAATTTTATTTATATTAAATTTTATACAAAATTATAAAGAATTTACATTTCAACTTATTTTATCTCAATTTGCATTTTTATATAACACCTACTTAAAATTTAAAAACGTAACACTTAAGATGTAACGTGAGGAATGGATTTATTTTACGATGAATCAATATATTCTAATTTTATGACGTTAGAGTCACAACGCTACTTTGGTGGGCGCAACATAAAGTATTTTGTGGATTTTCTGGCAAGCGGCGGACGGCTAAAATCTATGTGCACAACGTAGCCCGCCTGTAATTAGCTCGCTCCGTTACATTTTACGAGTGCGGCAACGTCACTTGATTATACGACCACTTAGAATATTAAACGATAAAGCATGGTCGAACGCATTGCCGGCGCCGATAGCCGTTCAGCCCGCTTAATTCGCCCCGCACGTCGCTTAAACCTTATTACGTGCGTGCATAAGCGATCACGTACGCCTGTTAATAAATTTCTGCTCGCATGCCGTGAGCAGTCCGGAATCGCTATTTTCCTAACCGCGAGCTACCGACGTAATTGCGCGGATAATAATCGACGCTCATGAGCCGGAAGAAAGGAGAGAAGCGCGCAAAGCTGCAGGGGAATGTACTAGATCATGCTTGATATGCCACGATTAATTTATGATGCTTTACCTCACCAAGGTGTTTCCACGTAAAACGGGAGAACTTTGAAGCTGTCTACACGCACGAATTAAACAGCGTTATAAATTATTGTATGACATCTTTCGCCGCTTGCTATAGAAGCCACTAATTTCAAAATATATCAAAATTCAATTCTGAAATTATATTGTTTTGGGAACCGGCTCAGTGCTTTTTAACCAAAATTGTATTATTGTATATTTTTAGTTTTGAATGGAGAATTGAGATAAATCGCAAATGCGCTGGAATATATTTGTATGCATATGTGCAACAATTTCATGAAACATGGAAACATTACATCACGATATGTGATGTGTACAACGATACGTAACAATACGGGTAACGCAGTTTCGTATTTAATAAGTCCACCGTTGTTTCATTTTGTCTAGTTTGTTCGCACTAGAACTTCATTTCGACCGTGGCAATATCAGCGACGAACTGATCGTAACGAACAGTGTAAACCGTGAATGCAAGTATGGTAGTAGTGTTACCGGATATTTGACTGTGTCCGCATATTATTGCTTTTTAAATAGCGCACCGAGCCGATTCATCCTTTCGTCATTAAACATATTGCGAATTTGTTGCTATCGCGCAATATCCACAACTGGTTATTACCGCCGTGAATTTAAATCACTGGCGCGATATTACGCACTGTCAATCATTTTTGATACCGCCTTTTTTTCCCGAATATTCGAAGTTTTACAATCGACTGCGTTGTTTTGACATTAGTTCACTTATATCCTTCGACATAGTTCGTTGCAACTATTCGCTAGTGTAAATCGTGAAAAAGGACAGTTTATGTGTGTGTGTATCGAAGATACATATCACATTCCAATTATGTGAAATTAACAAGCACTAACATGAATTTTAAATACGTAAAGTATATTTAATAATGCATATTTAATAATGCAGAATAATTTAATAAAGCATATGAGAGACACGTAATATCAATTTAATTAAAAGGATAAAACTGTTGAACAATACGAAACTTTGTTAGGTTTTTTAATTTAATATTACAATTTTGAAGTTTAGCTGTGCAGAAAGGAATTGTCCTATTTAAAATTTAGTTAATTATAAATAAAATTTTGTATCGCAGGCAGAGGCAACGCAGAAATGACGCAGAAATGATAATGACGCATCATGATGTTGCCGGTAATTTTTATGTAGTCGATTAAAAACGACCGCGCATATGAGGTTAAAAATCTTGAAATTACAAGTGCTCCCACCATGCTTAAAAGTGAAAAACTGGCGCGATTCAACGCGGCGTGAAATTAAGTGGTTTCGCGAAGATTAATACCGACCGATTACGGCTAAAAATACGTTCTCGAGCTACGGCCGACATGGCCGTTCGCCGCGTAATTGTATCTTTTATTTTTTATTATGCAAATGCAGCACTTGCGTGCGGATATCGTTGAGCTTTGCGGTCGCGTGCGAATTTCTTTGTACAACGTATCGTCCACCGTTATTAGCGGGGGAGCTTATCGGGACGCGTATGATTGCATAACAGTTCTGACTTTCGAGCTCATTACGCGACGCATACTTTTGTTTGCGGCTGATAACAGTTTCATGATCAATCACTGCAGTAATGTTCCACCGTATCGCCGTCGTCTATTTTTTTTCCTCGTACGATGACTAATTTGTGTACTCTGGTCGGGGTTGTAAAAAAGGCAGTTGCACCCTCTGGAAGCTGATATCCTAGTGCGAGTGCATCCGGCCGGTAGCGATGTATTATTCAACGGCTGCTTTTTTTTATCCGCCAAGAAAGTAATGCCTATCGTAAAGTTGACTGATTGGGAGACAAGGAGGGCGAAACGCGCGTCGAGAATACGCCGATAAAACTCGGGGAGCATGCAAAATACAAAAAATAATGCATTCGCACACTCTGGCTTTATGCATTGAATAGGTGCGGTTGCAACGCAGTGGTCTGACATCATATTTTTTTTTAAAGCCGTACAACATGCCGCGCTATTAGGATTTGTGGCACCTTTTTACGTTTCACTTTTTCTCTTATCGCCGCTACGATATTTTTTACACACAATTTTCTGTATAATTATGTACATAATTTTGATGGAAAAGTAACATTACAAATAATTAACGTGGTTAAATTATTGATATACGTATAAAGTATTATTCCGTTATTAAAGCAGAAATTATCGAGTAAATTAATAATAATAGATAATTTTTATTTAAGAAAAGTCAATTTGATGTATTAATCATTGGAAAATAATATTGAAACGGTATTTTTAGAATTTTTCCAAAAAAGTATGAAAATAGCTTTAGCTCTCTCGACTGTAAAAACAAATGATAGAAATAATCGATAGCGACAAATACTCTTTGACAGCGGCCGCGGAATAAATTTTTTGTGCAAACCTCACGAAGAGAATTCTATTTTGTTTACTTTCGTAATAATAATATTTAACATCAAATTGTGGGTGTAGTTTACATACATTTCAATAAAGTGTGAGAATGGCGAGAAAGGAATCAAAAGATGTTAAGAAAAGAAGAACAAGGATAAGACCCATGAAAATTGCTGCTCTAGTCGTGTCTGCTATACAGGATCTTCGTGAAACCAAAGGATGTACCCCCCAAAAAATCACAGGATACATTAGTTACGCTTCGAACATACCTGTAAAACGCGTTAAACAACAAGTGAGCGCAGTTCGAGCCTTATCTTTGATTAAAATTCATTCCGTCGTGCAATTTGAACAGCTATTATTATTAAATTTGTCATTTTTGCACATGCAACACGCGGTCTATGTATTTCTTGATGCGTATGCGTGATATTCGTGATTTCACAGTTGATCGAGTGTTATAAAACACCTTAACAATCACTTCATCGGTGCAATGCCGTCATTCCAAGTAAAAAACGATAAACGTTGATTGAAATCAACATGGCAATTTTCTTTTATATTTTTTCTATTTTCGCATATCAATCACTGTCATAGACATGCGCATGTAAAGCGCGTGCGAGTGTCAAGTTCATGTCAATTCTGTAAATCGTTCTGAATAACGATATTTTAATGGAAAGAATTCAGAAGTTGGTTGCATACGATTGCTTTCCTTCGACGATTATATTCAAAGCCATTTTTTGTCGCGCTTCACAAATCCATTTTATCGCCTACGGTTATCAGAATTTTCGTGATATCTCAGGTAAAGGCGGCTCTGAAACGAGGCGTGGAATACGGTATTCTGCGAAGATACCGCGGTCATTACTTTCTTCCCACTGGCGACGAATTGGACCGCGCGAATCGTATTGCTATGCGATTTGCCGGATTGCCGACGTCCATGTCGCTGTTTGCCAGGTCAAAAACCAATTCTACCCGTAAGATAAAGGACCGCAAGAGACCCCGGGAAATTGGTAATAGAGCTCAAAAGAGCAAAAAAGTTCGGAAGACTAGTACCCACTCTATCTCAGCCAGTCCGAGTTTGACGGACAAAATTGCCGGCGACGTCGTGTCTGTGACAGAGTGAAATTATTTAGCAGTCTGTACAGTCTCAGAGAAAAAGATTTTCTCACGTGATATGCCGTTTAAACGTGTCCTGGTCTCTGTGTGCGCTCGTAATGTGTATTTGCGTTCACGAAGAACTGTTATTTATGTTTTTTAAAACAAGACATCAAATCGATTTATTGATTGATTGATTGATTGACATAAATGAAATACGATTAGATTTGTACATAAATACAGCGATTGATTGAAAATGTTTCGCATTGAATTTTACATTTGAATTTAAGAATAACAACGAATACTTACATTTAGATGACAAGTAATGGGCGCAAGTATAGTTTTGTCTATTCACGCGATGAAAGATTATCGACAATATCTGAATTCTAAATGTTCGCATTTGGCGCAGTTCCATTGTTACTGAGATTTTAATATCTTTCGGCACAATGGACGACAATCTTAGAACGATGGCGATAGTGGAATCAATCGTTTTCTATTACAACGATATATCGGTTCACCCGTGTCTCGACCCCGACGTCCCACCGCTTTTGGTCGTCCGCGCTGTGGCAGAATTAAATGAAATGAGGAACGAGGTTTTTTCGTAAATTGCTCCGGCGGCAAGACGACCATTTATAAAAGTTAGGAGCTTCTTACCCGACCCGATAAACTTAATAGCTTCAGAAATTTACGGGGTTTGGCATGCTGAGGAGAAAATTTTGTGCGCCTCTGTTTTCTTGCGCCGATCGATCGCCCGCTACTTCTTCCTTGTTTTATTGGGTACATCCGCGCCATTACGCTCGCGAAATAATTTTGTTCTCACTCCGCCGTCTTACGTCTCTCTTGCCCTTTTTCTTTCCCTCTCTATGTATACACATCCTGTAGCGCAATATCTTCGATGGAACATATTTACGGCGCCATGATGGCGGACTTTTAACGGTTAGGTTGCGTAAGTTACGTTCCGTGTGACTACGCGAGAAAAGCAATATAAGTTGTAAAAGGCGCGAATAAAACTCGGCGGTGGTATGAACGCAATAATGTGGTATCGGTTCGATGCGGCGCATTGAATAGAAAACCAGGTAATTACGATCGATAACTTCGCACGTCGCAGTATGATGTTGCGCTCGCTATATAGCTATCCGATAACGTCCGGATTAATTTGATGGCGGGATCGAATAGCTGCATAGTTACGTTCGCACGGTGAATGACGAAGCACATCGTTTACTTGAAGAATATCTTCCCGGACTTCAGGAAGCTCGCTTATCATACAGAGTTAGTCAAACTTTAGATGGAATTGCGCATATGTTGAAATAAGTATTAAAACGGGCTCCGCTGCATAGTTAGAATAGTATGAGTGCCCCCAAGTTGCGAGGACGCGGGTAATGCGCACAGCAAGTTAATGAGTTAGGTAATTTCAGGAATGTAATAAATAAGAAAACGAGAAATAGTTACTTTCAGGTTCGACTTTTTGCCCTCCTCGATTTTCATTTCCTCGCAAACTTTTCTCCGCGACAGGTCTTTTTTGCGGAGTGCACGCGAATTATATCGGTTTACTTGGAATTTCGGAAGCAAACAGAAATACAGTTGGTGTTTCACGAATTTGTTTCGAGACGACTGGTCTGGAATTCCGCTGGGATCCGATTAAATTCCGTGAGAGAAATGGTTTTAGTCCCGTCGGCCTATAATCTCGAAAGCATAGTCTAGCTATGAACAACGGGTATCCTGGGACAATTCGAATCCGTTTAAATAATAATTTGAAAAGCTAGTTGGCACCTACTGCTTTCGCTATACCGATAGCGACCCATAGCGGTTAAACTAAATCGGCAATGTCGGGTAAATTGAGGATCGCGTGTATAACTCTTTGCTGGCTAGTTTGCACGCATGCAGCAAACTAATTGTTAGCATAAAAGTATTTTGTATGTATTTAATTAAAGCGAAAGAAAACTTTTAATTGCACGCGTAAAACAAAACTAAGTATATTATTTATTTGTGTAACCCATTTGAATTTTAATAGCATTTTCTGCTTAACACTCGGTATTAAATTACTTTCTGGTGTGTATACGGATGTTCTAAACAATCTCAAATGTTTGTCGTGTAATGAATGAAATAAATGTAAAGCGATTTTCAAACTTTCTTTATTAAAAGCGGTTAAAAGCTCCGCGTCGGATATTAATGGGTCCATTAACATGTTTTTTGCAACTCAATGGCGAGTATAATGCTATTATTTATCAAATTTCGTTTACGTGACGATCTTAGAAGGGATTGCGTGACGATTGTGGAAATGCAGTCGAGAGATTGAGTTTTCCTGGGGGATTGTGCGTGCCCGCATAGGAAACGACGGGGCTTTACCGTGGACGCGGTATAATTGTAAGTTGCGCGACTTGGTCGTATCAAGGATCCTGGGTGAATGCCGTTAGTTCGAATTCCGCCGAGCTTCGCGGTTCCGCAACTGCAATTGCGTGGCTCGTACCGAGCTATGCAATCCTGACTGACCCCGCACTTCTGCTACATGCGAGGGAGAGAGAGAGAGAGAGGACAATGTCGTTTCTCCGCATCTGGGAAACCGAAACGAAAGCAGTTGCAGCGAACTGCAAAGGTATCCGCAGTCTTGAAAATGGTGGCTTATATTAGCAATTGCTTGTGGATTAATCGTCGTCCACACAAGAATATGTTTATCCTGAATGGTCCGTTGTTCTACGATATACCAATGTTTGTTTAGTTAGTTAATTTGAGCGTCAGATTATATATTTAAAGTGGAAGCTACATGACTTGAAGAGTTTATATAAAAATTGAGAAAAAATATAACTAACATTTTACGCGGTGTCAGTCTTTATAATGAAGTATGTTTTATTGTTATAACAAATTTTGTCCGACTTTAATAATGTTCTTGCAAATTCAAGAATATATCGAGTAATATAATCGCGATAATCTTTGCAATAGCTGTAAAGCGAGAGATGATTGTTTTGTTATCGTGGAATTTGTGACAGGAATGTGATAGACATGATAGTAATAATAGGATTGTTGTCTCGGAAGCAAATTTTTACACGGGAATAGTTCAAATTCACTGCTTTGTTCGACATGTTTACGTGATAGTTATCCGTAAGCGGTGGTCGCCAGTCATTGCTTACGAACGAGGTCCATTCGATAGATTCGACAGCTTATGCTCAGATCGAAATAATTGCTACTGAAAAATCATATCAAATTAAATTAATTGGTGGTCCATGAAATCTACAAAGTGTAAAACGATTCTATTCAAAATCTTTTTAAATAATTTTTTTGCAAATTTATTATTAATTTTTTATTATTCGAGCAATCGTTATTGTTATATCATATATTATACAAATAATTCCGTAAATTCTAAAAAGCTAATTAGTTTTGGCTATATAGAATCACAGTTTAAATCAGCAATTACGTTATTTGGGCCGAACAATACAATGCTGACCATCCGGAATCCTGTTGCATGCATGGAACCGTAAGACAATAGTCTACACGCACACAGATGTTCGTAGAATAATACAGGATGTTACAGGCAGCGAACACATTTGGCCACAAAACAGTGTATGCACTTTGATGGTTCATTACATTTGTATTGACATAAGGAATTCTAATTTTAGGCAATTATTTTTAGTTTACTCGATAAAAATATATTTTATAATAATTATTTTTTATTTGCTTAACGTATTTCAATATTACAAAAATTTTTTTTGCATTAAAATAATCTACAGAGTTCAGCATTAAAATATCTATCGCGAGAAAAAGCTTGGAAATTATGTTAACTCTGTCTCTCAAATAAATTCGTAAACTGCGGAAATGTTTCGTTCACGAGTTATCGTGAGATTAGATTTTCGCACGAGCAGTAAGAAACGCACAGTCTGCGGCAGCTCGCTGCTCACAATTTCCGCCTGAAGTCGCAGCGGGTATTAGTTCGTGTTACAGAGATGTTGGTGTCTTTAGAGTTGCAATTGCATGGCAGAAGCGACGTAATAACTCCCATTTCACGTAGGACGCGATTGCCTTGTACTACTGCGATGTCCGTGGGATAAAACGAAAGGAAACTCGCTCTTGATTAGAAGTGAATCGCCGTCTCAATAATAATGCCAATAATCATATCAATTAATGATTTATTCACGGCATATTCAATTTATTTATTAATTGTCTATTATATTACAGAACACAAATGGTTCATAACATTTAAGCGAATGCGTAATTATTTTAAATCAATCAGTTCGTTACTATTATTTGTTAATTAGTACTTGTATGTCGTAAAAAGAATTCTATATTCACAACCGTGTTTTGAACACATCAAATTACATAATAACACAATAATATCATATTTCGGCGAACGTTGGTATTACATTTCAGCGCATTTGTCATATCATGTGTGTCATATACATAATTCTGCTCTGATCCGTTAATCGGTTCCTTTTGTTAATGTCACGCGTGCGAGTAGTAGAAGCACTCAAGCTTAAAGGGAAGTGTGGAAGTACTGTCGTTTGACCATTACGGTATGCATGGTCTTGGAGGCGGCTCGTTGCATCCGCAATCGCGCGTATTAATCGATTCCCTCAGGAATACATCAAGCAGAAGACGGTTGGAGACCAAAGGGTCACTGTGCACCTCGTGCACAAAACGAGCCTTTGGAGTAGTAAGCTGACCAAACGGAATGCATGACGTTTCTACGATCCATGATGCCTTTTGTGGTGCTACCCAGCGTCAATGGCAATTCTCTGCATACGTACATACCTACACCCTGTGCATATATATTCAAATGCATACTGCTGGGAAAGCTGTTTCTTTCGAACCGTCATATAATAAGATGCTTATAATACGTAATATTTGCGCTGAGTTAAATAAAAATCGGTACAGCTAATGATTAGAGCTTTTTATGCGCGACGGAAATCATAATAGAAGGAGTTTGATGGAAGAATATTCTACAGCGGATTAAAAATATGACAACAGCTAGAGCATAAATTAAAACATAATGAAATTTCGAACGAATCGGAGCTAATTTGTTGCTGTCATGTGGATAAA